TATGGGTTACACATGGAAAGTTATCTTTTAATATTAAATTAGTAATATATTATGCACAAATCTAATAAGATATAATTGTATAAATATAGGTAATATATGGAGTAGTTAAAAAAACTTCTCTCAGTAGAATTAAAAGCTTGTGTAACAAGAAAACAGAATAGTGCCAGTTCGTACCAGGCAAAAAATTCAAGTACATGATGGAATCGGCATTTATTTGGTTTTAATTTATTACACATAAATAAAACTTCAAAGTGTAAATTTTCACAATATATGTACATACTTATAACCCACGACAACTGTTTCGCTACACAGTAACTTTTTCAAACAATTATCGTGAGTTGTAAATATACATATTGTAAAAATTTGCAATTCGAGCGTTTTATTTAGGTATAGGTAAAAATTTAAATAGGAATAAAATCTAAAATTAAATGATATACATATACGAGCAAATCAACTTTGTTCATTATTGCAAAACAAAATCTTTAACTTTAATAGTCAAAAATACCCATAAAAGACTGATTTTCATATGTTCTTTCAATTATTTGTAAACAGAAACACTCGCAAATAATCGAAAAAGTATTTTGAGGAATTGAAATAATGAAAAATACATTAATAATAAAAGTTTTTAAATATCCTCATAGAAATTTAAGGGTACATTGGTTATATTTCCACGTTATATATATAATTAAGTAACTACAAAAAAAAACGATTGTAAGTTATTATTTAATAATGAATCATTTTAGAGGACAAAGCAATCGAAAAAAATAAAGAATTGTGAAAACTATTAAACAATTTGGGGAAACTTCATTCCGCATTTAATTTTTATTGTAATTTAGCAACCACAACTGCTGTTTTGGATCCTAATCAAAATTCAAACGGCGCAATAATTACATTATCAAAGTTACACAAAACATACAGGATTCGTAAGTTTTGAACTTAATAATTAAATATATATAATGATATCTAATTACAGAATTGAATCTCAGTCATGATTGCAATCTGTAATGAGCATATTAAATTGAAATACCTTTGCACTAATTTTGAGAAAGAAACAAAATGTTTCTTTTTGTCATAGGGCTACATACATATACTATTAAGAGTTTTGCAACCTATACGAGGTCTAATAAAGAAATAATTGAACAACAAAAAAAACAAAATTTTTAAATTGCAAGTTTTGATTGATCAATTATTTCTTTATCAGACCTCGTATAGATCGCGAAACTGAAAATTTTCATAAATTTGAACATTTGTATTAGGAGAGCATAAGTCGCATAAGGTCTTTTTCAGAATTCGCATTTTTAGCGCGGGAACAACTATATATAGTAGTTTTCCTTCTATTTCTCATCATAGTTCAGCCCCTCGACGTGCGAGGGCGCTAGTAATACCAAAATTATAGCAACTTTTAGGATATTAATTAAACGATATCAAGGTCACATGCGGGAATCTCTAATGGACTTAATGTAAATTTCAATATGTTATTATATTCTTAACAAATAAAGATCATTTCTTTTTAGTAAATTAAACGCTGTTTATATAAAAACAAATTTATTCCGTATTTCTGTTACACATCACTTGCAGTTACATAAGATAGAATTCATTCAAGGAAACATTTATTGCAAATTATGAGTATTTATAATAAAATATATATCATTTATGTAGGTACCTTTCTAATTTAAGATAGGGATTTGTCTTTCAAGAATTAATTCAGAGGTTTCCCCCATTAAAAAAAGAAATACAAACCCCTTAGCCTTAGTTGAGTTTTTAAGATTAAATCATCCCTGTACGTTTAGTTATGTAGACAGTGTCACAATGACTTTTTGTCGACTTGTTTCAGTTTTATACACATACAGATCCCCGTACCTTTCATTTGAGACCACTCGTGACCATATTACATTCACAATATTCGTATCCAACAGCTTTTCTACACTCTTTTTCAATGAACGTAGAATTATGAGACCTTTAACTTTTGTTGTATAGTACCTACAAGTATCTGCGAATAAAAAAAAATAACAAAATTTTCAATTACCAGGGATTATAGTCCGTAGGGTCCTTTTTATATGAATGCATTGAAAACATTAAGAAAAATATTGTACTTTGCTAAAAATTGAAGTAAGTAATAAAACTCATAACAACATTGTTTAACTTTATGATATTTCAAAAAACGTACATACATTAAGTTTGCAGTACTTGTTTAGACTAGACTAAGGCCAAACGTATCTTAAATGGTAAAATGGCATTTTATTTCTATGTTTTACAGAATTACTACGCACAATAAAAATATATAATTCAACAATTTAACATATTTTTTTGTTATTTTAATGCTTAAGATAAAATCATATTGATTAAAATTATATTATAATACAACCTTTTACAATTAATATTTTTTATTAACTTCCTTTATAATAGGAAAATCATCATTGCAGGTGGTACCTGAACAATTCATACATAACTAATTGCAATTT